CCTGACCCCTGGCAGGGCCTTCTGGAGGCTTCTGCAGGGAAGCACGATGCCTCTAATACTGAGAAAGCTGAAGTGTCTGGAAGGACCCTGGGTTGGGTCTCAGGAGGCCCAGGCTCTGTCCGCTGGGCCTCTGGGCAGCGTGGTCTCTGGGGGCCCACGTGTGTGTCTTGGGGAAGAGGGTTCCATGTCCCCAGGAGTTCCTGGGGTCTCCTTGCACAGGGGTTGCCTTCTACTTAGGAGAGACAGCATTATGCTCCAGCAGCTTTGGAGAACCCCAGACAGGCTCCCCTCAGGGCACCCTGGCTGGCCCTGTTGGGGGGGGGACCTGTGGGGGGCATTGGGTCTGCTGCTTCCTCAGCTGGAAAGGAGGGGGGATTTGAGAGGGGAAGGGGTGGAGGGGGGGCTGCCCGCCCAGCCACGTCCCCACACTGGCCACCTGCAGTCCCCAGGGCCCCCACACCCTGGCCCTCACAACCCCATCTCTGCTTCCACCTCCCCAGTATTCTCCAAGCATGACGATGAGCGTGTGATCCCCTCCTCTTCTCCGAGACGCTGAGAGAGCCGGCATTGCAGGCAGGAAGATGCCAGAAATTATGCAAGAAGAAGTGAGGTGTCATTACCCAGGAGCTGGGGGAGGGGCATCTCCTGCTCCCCCTCAGCCCCAACCCCCTCCTCCAGCCCCCCCACCCATCCCAATTTTAGTTTCATGCAATAAAAAGGCCGAACTTTTTATTCCATAAAACATGAAGGACAAAACTCAAAATAAAAATATATTTCAAGTCCATGACCAGAAAACTCCCACCCCTTGCCATTCCCAAAAGGACCTTTTATGTACGTGACACTTTTTTGTTGTTTGTTTTGTTTGGGGTTTTACCGTTACTGGGATTTTTAAATTTGTTTTCAGGGGGGTTTTTTTGGGGGAAAAATTTTTAAAAATGGAAGCTTCTAGCAAGCCCCCCCCCGCCCCACCCCAGTCAACCTCTTTGCTTTCTTCTTTAAAAAAAAAAAAAAGAAAAAAGGCCAAAAAAAAAAAAAAAAACCAAGCCCTGCTGTCTGTACCCAAGCCCTTTCACCAGGAAAGCTAGTCTAGGTGTGAGGTCTCACGCTGTCTTTGTAGCCATCTAAAAATAATGATAATAATAATAAACTGGGCAGTTTACAATCGGTGGTTTCTTTCAAAAGGCCTTTTTTGGAAAGAGAAAAGCAAGTCCCCTTTCTCCACTTGGGGTTTTTGGTTTGTGCGATCGCAGGGGAGGGTCAGGAACCTGTTTTAGTTTTGCTCGGTTTCTCCGGGCCGAGGTGGCGGCGCCAGCGGCTGCACAACTGGAACCCCAGGACCCCCTCCCCTCCCACCCCCCCACACCAGGTGGCCCGAGGGGCCACACCACCTGCCCGACTGCTTCCAGGACTCCGGCCGGCGGACGCTCGCTGTGACCCGGTGGCATGCACTGTGCTCCCAGGACTGCTTCCTCCTCCTTCCCCGGACCTTTTCCCGCCGGCCCCCTCCACCCCACCCCGCTCTTCCCAGCGAGACTCCTGCCGGCTGGCCGGTGGCCTGGCCGGCGCGCATGGGGGGAGGCCGCCCCCGACAGGATGGCTATGACCTGGGACGTGGCAGCTGTGACCCGTGCGATCCCGTCCCGCGGCCCTGGCCCGCATCATCCTCGTCGTGTGTTCGGGCCCGGTAGGGCTGGAGTTTGGGTTTTCTTTTACTTTTTTTTTTTTCCTCTTGATTCTTGCTTCTTTTTCAAAGATGGGAAATTGACCGGAATTGCTCTGTGTACGCTTGGAACTGGATGGAAAGACTTTGGAATAGCTGTGGGGGGCGGGGACACCAACCAAACAGACGCGCTGTTTCCGGTCCTGTTTTTATTTTCAAAAACCGACAAATGCGGCAGTGGAGCCCGTCCCCTCCCAGGAGGGGTGACTCACGGCCTCCGTCACCTCACACCCCCATCGAGACCTCCGTGTCTTGCCCCGAAGACACCTGAATTCTTTGTACATTTGCAGCCCCTCCTCCCCGCGCCCCTGTAGCTGCTGTTTCCTCCCTCCCTCCCTGATCCATGTATATCATACTATGTGAGATACCATCTGCCTGAAAAAAGACCTTGTGCGGATTATTGGGAACATTGTAGCTGTTTCTGTGTTTTTCTTACCTTGTAGTCTGGTTCTGAATTAAGAGAGGAAAGAAAAGTAATTATACATTGTAGTTTGTGTACGATATATGTTGATAACGTTTTATTAAAGGGACATCTTTTTTCCGCAGCCCTTCCTGACGTGTTTGGGGGCGCGGCTCGGGGTTTATGTACTGACCGCAGAAGGCAGGGTGACGGTTAGGGCAACCTCCGGTTCGGGCCCCGGGTGCCCGCCGGCTCCCCGCCGGGCGCGTGTGCGGGGTCGGGGCGCTCGGGGAAGGAAGACTCCGCGGCCTCACGGCCGTATTTGGGGACCGATCTAAAGTCCACTTCGTCTCCTGCCTGGCGAACACGTGTTGGTTTGCCAGAATGTTCAGGAAATAGAAAAGGTTCCCGGTGCGGTTTTCTGGGCGCCCGGGGCTGCAGCCCCCCCCCCCATGGCGGTCCTCCCGTCTGCGGTGGTCTAGTGTGCGCCTCAGGCCGGGGGGCCTGGGAGATCCTCAGAGCAGCGGACGCCTCGCCCTGGAAGGCGGCCGGGTGGGGAGACCCAGTCCCAGGGGGCCCGGCCCCCCGCGGCGCGAGGAGGGCTGGGGCGGCCTCAGCAGCGGGCCCTGCAGATTGGACCATCTGCGAAGTGGAGCCTGCTGCGGCCTCGGCCCGGGGACCCTGCTCCAGGCCCACAGGACAGAGGGAATCGCCGTGGGAGCCACACGTGGGCTCCGCAGCTCCGCGAGGCCGTGGCCCTCCAGGCGCAAATTGCCTGGTTTGGCCACGGCTTCCCTGCGTGGCTTGTCCATAAACGGGGCTGATGGTTTCTCTTCCTCCCGGGGCCGTGGTGAGGGGCTCGGACGGTGCCCTGGGCTCGCAGGCACAGCAGCGTCAGCTTCTGGGGGGTTACTGCCCCGTGAGAGGGGGCCCCAGGGGGTGCGGCTTGCATCCCGCCCTTCCTCTTCCCGAACCACGTTGCTTCCTCAGCGGTCGCCTCCGAACAGGGGGGGGCGGACCTTGCTGTGCAGAGGGTCCTCAGCGGCAGGTTTCGGTACCAGCAGCGTGGAGCCTCGGCCACGGGCCGACCCAGTGAGGACAAGGGGACAGCAGTGACGAGCAGCCTGCCACTTGGGCCCCAGGATGCCCCCATGCTGCCATCTGTGCAAGTGGAAGCCATGGTGGAGGGGTGTTGAGCTGCAGGGGGCCCCGGGGATGTCAGGGAAGGTCCCAGCCTACAGTGGGGTCCTGCCTCGCATCTCCCCCACACCTGACGTCCGCTAAACGGGTGAGAACCCTGAGCGCCCCCAGGTGGGGGTGCTCCTCAAAGCTGGGGGCCACATCTGTGCTCCTTGTTCCACAATCACCCAGGAGGTGCGGTTACTCCTGGAGCAACTGGATGTTTGTTGAGCACTCACCCCTGCATCCCCACCCCAGCGTGTGCGGTCACCTGTGTGTGGGTGCTCAGGCAGTGGAAGGTGGAGCCAGTCACTGTGCCAGCAAGCTGGGGGCTCCCAGAGGGGGCCGGGCTGGCCACAGAGCAGGTGTTTTTAAACCGTTAAGAGCTGGACTGCCCCCACAGGAGGTCTGCAGTGGGGTACCCTTGGGCCCAGTCCTGACCTGGTTGCAGGTTCCATCATGCTCCGGCAGGGACGGAGAGACCCGTGTTGTGTGTGTCACTTGGGGGGGGGGGGGCTGGAAGGGGCTACACTGCTGCCAACAGGCTGGACTCCTCACCCTGGGCAGTGAGCCACGCCTGGATGCAGGTGGTGAGGCTGACGGGGGCAGGCACTTGGGACTTGGTGGAGTGGGCACCTCTCTGTCATGGAGAAAACCAGCTCCTCCCACTACACCACCTGGTCTCTGAGCCCCAGCTCTGCCACCTATAGGGGGAGGTAAAAACCGCCAGTCCTGTCTGCGTCACCTTGCAGAGGAGCTGTGCAGGGCCTGAGTGTGGGGGGGGCCCTGGGCTCAGCTCCGAGGCCCACCCCACAGCGCTGGCCCCTCCCACGGCCCCGGTTGGCTGGCTAGGCGGTCATGCCGTCCCCCTCCCACTTCCACTGGTATCCAGGGGTTCAGCCAGCACAGCCTGGCTTCAGGCAGCCACCACTATGCCACCAAGCCTAAAAACTAAGTTGCAAAGTGGATGTTGTGCGAGCCCGGGAACCAGACACAGGTAGGGCTCCACTTGGCCACAGCTCTGGTGGCCGTGACGCTGCTCTCAGATCTCTCCTCAGAGGCCCTCCCGCAGGCAGCGGGCATGACCAGACTGCTTCTCTGGCTAACTGCTCTCAGCCACGTCCCCTCTGTTGAGGACCCAGAACAAGGCCCGGCACACAGTAAGGCAATCAACAGCTTTCTTGAATGTGGAAACACTATTTACCTTGCAAGAGCTATGCAAGGATCAAAGAGGATGCGTCTAAGGTGCCGGGCCCAGAGCAGGACTTGGAAGTTACGTGAAAGAGAGGCCGCAGCCGAACCAGGGATGGACTTGCTCTGTTAACCCGAATACCAGGGAGAAATCTACAATGCATGTTCTATGCAGGTTCCCTGCAGTCACTATGGAATGTGCCCGCAATTCCGAGTCCCAGGAGAACCCAGCAGGCATCAGAGAGAGCGTATCACGTGGCAGATGCTACACATACATCATCTACGGCCTTCGAAACAAGGGAGCTCATGCTACCCTCAAGTTTCAGGTGAAGAAGATGAAATCCAGAGACAAAGATTCTTATCTATAGTCAAGATGGGCCGTGGGCAGGGAGGGCTTAGGGTGGGCCAGGTCAGGCCCCAGGGCCGCACGCACACGCAGGCAGGCTCACGGTGTAGCTGCTGTGCAGCTACGGGCGCCCTTCCTGACAGCTCCCCACACCAGGCACGGGCTCCAGGGCCCCAGAAGCGCTCTTTATTGGCAGCCAGACCAGCAGGCTGGAGGAACACTGTGGTTCCGGCAGGCCCAGCACTGCTCTGGAGGCAGGATCTTCTGCGTGAAGGGGGACGAGGGGGCTTCAGACCTCAGGTCGGTCCTTGGCTTACACAGCACCATGCAAATACAGAGCTAAAAACTTCCTGAACGTCTCTGGCTGGAAACCAGTTGGCCCAACAGGTTCCTGGAAAAGAACACAGCCCGTTAGGATCCTGCTAGTAGATTTAATGGCAGCAATGAAAAGAAAGGTTGGTTTTATGTAAATCCTAAATGCCTGGATAGTCACTGCCACCTCCTCTCACGCACAAGGCGGGGGCAGCGGGGAGCTGGCACTGATGGCTACACGGCTGGGCTGGGGGACACAAAGCACTCCTAGTGCTTCCAGCCAGAACGTGTGCTGGCACTATCCTCATCCCCTATCCCTCTCACTGCAACCAGCGGTCTGTTGCGCCCTTTGCATCCCCAAATCATCTCTCACTACTCCACACACATTGCTCAGGCCCCTTCTCTCTGTGCTGCACCTGTGCCCAACAGTGGCTTGAATCTGGCTCTGCCCTCAAGGAGCTCACAGCTAGACGTTCCAACAGTGATGAGAAAAGCTGATAGGCCTCACAAAAGAGGTAGGGAAAAGATGCTCAGAAAGCAGGGGAGAAGGTCTTCCATATGAATGACTGAGTCTTAAAGGGCAAGTAGAATGGCCAGAGAGAAACAGCAAAAGCAGGCTGCCTCAGAGAGAGGAGTACGTGCACCAGTGCAGAGCAGAACGTAGAAGGGCCAGGCTGAGGCCAGGGCCTGCACGGGGGGGTGAGGGTGGGGGGGCGCAGGAGCCGAGGAGAGGTGTGGAGGAGCCATCTGACTAACCAGGATGTGTCTGCCGCTAAGTCAGTGTTCTAGAAGGGAGAGCCCAGAGAGCCACGTAGAAGAGGAGAGCAGGGTAAGAGCAGAGGGCATAGGTGGCTGGTGTGGCTGTGGCTGGCACACAAAGGTATCCGGGGCCAAAGAAAGAAGAGGGCCCAGAGCAGAGAGGCGTTTCCTGCGCAGAAACAGCACCGACAGATGCGGGAGAGGTAACAAGGCAGCTGACAAGCCCATTTTGTTCAAAGGCCCAACACCAGTTCCACGCAGCACACCTGCTCAGGCCGTGCAGGACCCAGGACACAGCCAGCACCCCTATTCCATTCTCTCACAGACCCTGACGCTGCCCTGACCCTTCAGTGCGCTTATCACTGCCTGACGTCACACAGTGAATTTAGACATGGGGGCTGCACAGAACGCAGACCTGGACTCTGGCAGCAGAGCCCTGGGGTGTGACAGTCACAAGGCCATGGGACGAATCCCACATCCGTGGGAAGAAATGATGAATGCCTTGTCCACAGGCCCTGCCTCCGAGGAGCTTGGAGCTCAGTTTGATGGAGGAGAAAAGCCTACAGAATAGCAGCGGGATTGTGCTATGATGGGGGAACACGGGCTACAGGGACCCCACCCCGAGGCACTGCAGTGAGGCCAGCAGTGGGTGGTAGGTCCTTCCACTAACCCTGGAAGGACAAGGAGAGAGAAATGGAAGGCAGGGGGAGAGGGGAGCAGCAGCACCCAGTAAGGCCCAGAGGGGCACTGTGAGGAGCTGGGCGTGCTGAGTGCACAGGGAAGCAGGAGGGCAGCGGAGGACTGGGCAGGGCCCAGGGTGGAAAGGCACCGTTCTAGCGGACAAGCCCTCCAGGTAGAGATCCTGGGCAGGAGTCCCTAAAGCCAGGGTCCCACTTGTGAGCATTCCTTCAACCCCACCCCTGGCTCACTCTGGGGAAACTGTGTAATGGCCCTGTTCTTATCACCAGGCTGGAGATGGCTGAACTTACCACAACCACCTTCTTTTTGATCACTGGGCGACACCAAAAATGCTGATAGAGGAGCTGGTCCGAGTCCACCCAGACCAGATTCTTGACGCCGTCGTTAGACGCCAGGTCTGTGGTGTTCAGCTGTAAAACCAGGAACTGGAAGACGCGTCCATCGGTGCCCACACTCTGCACAACAACCGGCTGCTCCAAAACCTTAGTGTGGTTCTGAGAGGAGAGGGGGACGAGTCCATCAAACCAGCAACAGCCGGGGTGAAGAGCAGCAGGGAACAGGCAGCTTCTAGCTCCGGCCTCTACAAATGCCTGCCCTGCTTAAGGTTCCCATGACCGGTCAATGGTAACAGGAGGAGCTCAGGGTACCATCCAGGGCGAGGCCGTCCCTCCCTCCCCCAGCCTGGCTCTGCCTGACCTGGGCCTCCTGGTTAATAAGCACGTGACAGTAATTCCTGCCACCGGGGTGGGGGTGGGGTGAGGACGGGCCAGTGGCAGAGCACAGGAGGTGATGGGAAATTAAGGACGGGGAAATCCTTCAAACCCACCGTGGTACCTGATGGCGGCAATAGTGACCTCAGTTCCACCAAATGTTAACCTGGAGGGTCAGGTAATATATGACCTTACTCCGCTCAGCTCTCAACTGCCTGACAGATGAGGAAATTGAGACTTGTCTGGTGGCATCACACGGACGTGTGGCCCCAGGAGGCAGACTAGCCAGTGCCTCGCTCCAAAGGGCTTGGCACTGCACAATGCCCGGGACCTACAGGCAGTCGCCTGACCTGAGCTTTGTGCCCCCGGCAGCTCTGAGAACATGTCAGATCCCACACCACCGTGCCAGCACCGGGCTTTCACCTGGCAGCACATTTGCTGATTTGCTTCAAATCAGCACTACTTGGTAATAGTAATGGTAGCAACCAGCTACTGCAAGCCTCTCGTGTGCCAGGCATCACACTGGTTCTATAGCCACTGGTAATCTCATGAATCCAGCAGTCTGCTCCCATTTCACAGATGGGGAAACTGAAGTTCAGTACAAGGTTGCCCATGACAGGTGAGCCAGGATCAGATGCCACGCTAGGAAATCACTGAAAACCCTAACATTGTAGCTGACACTTAACATCCCATGATATCGGGTGGTAGTACCTCTTTTCATGCCCAGGAGTGTCCCGTGTGGATGAAAAATTATATGTTGACCCCACTGAGCCTTTCCAACAGTCCAGTTTGGTGATGGCTACCTGCGGGACAGGCCCGGTAGGCAGGCCCCATGAAGCAGAGAATCCTTGATTCAAAAATGCTGCCTATGTTCACCCCTCCAGAGCTGGATGACATTAGGAATAGCTAATGTCAGACCTCGGCGTGGGCCACACTGGGACTGTTGGCCTTAGAAATACCTGTTCTTAGCTGCATGAGAAATAAATAAAAAGAAAAGTACCTCTAAGTGTTAGCTGAGAATTCTGTATTGACTCTTATCTCCCTCTACAGATCAATAAAACTGCAGGTAGTACATAAATTTCTCAGCAATTTTACCTTTTACACGGAGGCACTTCCCATAATTGCTCAACTTCACATCCCCAGGAATAATTTGTACCTGGAGGGGGTGGGAGAGATCTCCTCTCCTACCCAACCGGGTGGCAATTAGTGGTAGCATTGCTACCCATGCTCTGCTGGCAACAGCTGGCACAGAAGCTACAATGAGCCTGCAGACCAGGTACCTGGCATGCGACTCTGTGTTTCCTTCCCCTGCCCCAGAGTTGAGAGGCAACACATCTTTTGAAGCTGGAGGGACCAGGGCTCCAATGCTTGCTTCCCTACTCAATAGCTATGGGATCTTGGGCAAGTCACCTAACCTTCCAGAGCCTTCATGAGTACGTAGTCAAGGAATGGAAGAAAGACAACCTTCAAGGACTGGAAAGACAAAAAAGGTGACATAAAGATGTAACAGCTGCTAATCTCTTGGCTGTGACACTGGGAAAGGTACTTAGCTTCCTGAACCTCAGTTTCATCTGTAAAATGAAGCTAATGGCACCTGCCAGAGGGCTGCTGTATGGATCAAACAATGCAGTGGTTCTCAAATTTTAGGGCTGTGTTTTTCAACGTTGGGCTTATTCCAGCATCACCTGGAGGGCTTCTTATAACACTGGTTACCTGGGCCCCACTCCCAGAGTTTCTGATGCAGTAGAATTTGTACTTCAACAAGTTCCCAGATGATGCTCATGAGCTAACCCAGGACCATACTTTGAGAAACACTGATCTAAAGAATCCTCATTAAATGTCTGGCATGTAGCAAGGTCCAATCCACTCCTTATCTCATCTGGCCAACCACACCTCTGCAACCCCACCTAGATCTCAGATCAAGTAGGATGGGAAACAGGTGAAACAGAACATCATGAGTCTCCTCCTGGAGGGCCTCAGACTCAGGAGCTGGCAGCTCTCAGCCCTCCCCCAACCAACACACACACTCCCCACCCCCCTACCGCCCCCCACCCCAGGATACAGTGTCCAGGCCTGCTGAAGGAATCCCATACTGTTATTTTTTATGGGAGGCCTTTGCTCCCAGGGCAGGCTCTCCCCCATTTTGGGGGTAGCTCTGTGGGACCACCACTCAGCCTGCATTCTCCACCATCCAGGTCCTCAAGACCTCCTCTTAGAATTAAGGGGCTATCACCAAGTGGTATCTTGGTCCCTGAACCTGTCCTCTCTTGGCAGACAGGTCTACATCATCTCCTCCTGCCCAATGGAGCCTTGTGCTCTGGTTCTGCTATCACAGAATCAAAGGGGTGTACAAGAGCACAAGTAACTCAAGCCTTAGGAGCCGGGCACACCTAGTTCTGACCCTTTCCCCACCACTCATTGCTATGTAAGGCTGAACAAGCTGCTTAGCCTCCCTGCAGCTCAGGGGCATAACTGGAAAATGGGGATGATAAAGAAACCTTGTGGGCTATTCTGATCAACAAGTGAAGTGGCTTATGGAAACGACAGGCAGGCACACAGCAGGCCCCAGGCAGATGTCAGGGTATCTCCGTAGGGTAGATAGAAGCACCTGTCCCTAGAACTCCTCAGTCAAGCAAGGAATCCCTTGTGCCTCCCTCCTTTCTTCGAGCAGCGTAAGTCAACATCACATAAGGTAGCTCGGTGGTCTCCTCCACATACATACCCCATAAAGGCGCCGGGCCTGAACCAGGGCATTGCCAAAGGCAAACAGGATCATCTTGGCTCGCAGCTGGTCTGGTCGAAAGCGGTGTGGTCGTAAATTGGCTGTCTCCAGGAAATACAAGGTGTGGGGGTAAGGGTAAGGATACCCCTCCTGGAATCCTGCAAGATGCATAATCAGGTAGAGGAGCAAAAAGGATCATCAGCTTGTCCCAAAGCCTTTAGAAAGTCACCTCACCTTGGCTCAGTGCCAGGCACTACAGAGACTCCGTAAAGGCAGATGTTATCACTACAGCTCGGGGGATGGCAAACTTCAGCCTGCCTGCCAGCCAAATCTGGCCCCCCGCCTGTTTTTGAAAATAAAGTTTCTACTGGAGCATAGCCATGCCCACTCATTTACACAATGTCTCCGGAGTAGCTGTCACAGAGACCATATGTGGCCTGTAAAACCTGAAATATTTACTATTTGGCTCTTTATTGAAAATTTTGCCAACCTGTGTCAGGTCATTCCTGTGGGCTGATTAACTCCGCCCTCTTTCTCACTATTCAAGCACATAGAAGACAGGGATGTTAATAGGAGAAAACCTGAAAACTAGAGTAATTATTTTTTTAAAGCGAATCATTTGCAAAATTCCCTACTTAATTATTAGTGATAAGTGACTCGCTTCATACTCACAAGTGATCTGCAAATCCTGGCACTGAGGATTAGAGCTTAGCCCTTGTGCTCCCCAGCCACACCCCTGCCAGGCCATCATTCTTGTCCCCTGCACAGCTAAGAGTAAACTCTTAGTAGGCTGGCAGCTTCTGGAATGAGTAACCTGGGTTAGTGAGAGTGGGTGAGGAGGAGGAAGAAGCTGGGAAAACATGGGCTCTGAAAAACCCAGACGCAAGCACTACTTGAGAGCAACACCCTCCCTTGGGCCACCATCTTGGCTTCAGCTGCTAGCACCCCGTGCAGCCAGCCTGAGACAGGCTCCAGGTACAGCCAGGTGCCAGGGACAGAGGCCAAGCATGGCTTGCCACTGCCTTTGAGGAGTTCAGTCTGGGGGGCCCCACACGAAGGGACAGGTGAAGATGTGGGCAGGGTGTGTTGGGGGCTGGGAAAGGACAGAGGGAGGGGCCCTGATGACCGGGAGGACCCCAGAGCATTTCTGGGAAGGAGTGACTCCAAAGATGAACTACTGAGGTGGGGACAGAAAGAGGCAGCCGGCCACAGACCCCAGTCAGGGGAGAGAGGGCACGCCAGAGCCTGAGGTGAGGAAGGGCACAGTGTGCTGTGTGTAGCTGGACAGGGCAGGGGTCATGCAGGAGCAGAGAACAGCCCCCAAAACCCTCAGATGGTAAGCTGAGGAGTTCCACCTGTACCCAAGAGGCATAGGGAGGTAGGCACGCAGGCAGGAAGGCAAGGGGCAGAATCTGTTTCAGAAGGGTGGCTCTGGAAATGGGAACCAGATGGACTGAGAGGAAAGAGCCCAGGTCAGGTTGGCCGGCTAGCTGGGAGGTTGTGGCAGCAGGCTGGGCCTGCTGGAAGCTGTCACCGTGGAGAAGAGGTTAGAAGGCAGGCACTAGGACTCCTAGGGGCGGACTAGAGGGCAAGAGCCTGATGCTCCAGTTTCTGTTGTGGTGGCCAGAGGGGTGGTGGTGTCTTATTCCATGGAGTTTAGATGAATAGTTCCATCCAAGGCCTGTAGGGCTTCCTCTGTTCTTGTAGGAGGTCGGCCAGAGTTTACAGGGTGCATAGAAAGAGGGGCGTCTTTCAAGGGACTTGTGAATAAAGGACTTGGCGCCTGGCCCAGAGCCCCTCAGCCACCCATTACAACTCTGATGTAAGTTACCTCAGGGATCAAAAGCAAAGTCAGCCTTTGAGTAAACCCCTTAGATTCCCTGAGTCTCATCTTCTTGCCCACAAAGTGGGGACAGGCTGCTACATGGCTCTTAGGAAAAATGCGTGTGAGGTGCCAAGCACACAGTATTCAGTATGCTCCTTTTCTTTGGAAAAAGTGCATCCCTCATCTCCTCACTGCCTGGAGATACGAGGCTATGACACTTACCCGTGTTGTCTTCCACGTCATAAACATTGCATTCCTGAAGGTCAATAGTGGGAGATATGGGATAGAAGGCCTCAAGAATATGATTTTTTGTAGCTTCCACCTCCTCTCTGGAGGCAATGGCAGGCAGCGGATCCTTGCCGTTCAGTCGGGCTCCACTAGGACCACAGACCTGAAGGAGAAAAGACTCTAAAAAGAGGAGAGAGACAATCAGTCTACCCTACCCTGGTCTAGAGCCTTCATCCTGCCATGTAGCTCAAATCTTAGTGCCTTCCTAGCTGCTCAGCCTGATCGCAGAAAACAAAACTCTGATCAAGATGCTGACAAGGGGACCAACCAATGCCCTCTTCTTCCTGTGTTCCCTCACCAAAGAGCCCTGAAGCCTGGCAGTCTCTGTGGGTTCAGGGCTGCCCCACCCAGATCTTCCCAAGCACCTGCTCTACGCTGGGGACCAGAAATGATTGAGTTATCCTCTGCTCTCAAGAAGCTTCCTAGGTAGTAAGCGCATACAGAAGTGTGAACCATACTCCGAGACAGAAGAGATGGGGAAAACTGACCTCCGAGACCTGGGATGCTTCCCAAAAGCGGATGCTTTTAAACTAGTTTCCGAAGGATAGATAAGAGCAGAGTTGCTCAACTTCAGCAGTATTCTCATTTTGGACTGGATAATTCTTTGGTGAAGGGAACTGTTCTGTGCACTGCAGAGTTCTGGCAGCAGCCCTGGCTCCTATCCACCAGTTGCCAGTACAACTCCCCCCTGTTCAATGAAAAATGTCTCCAGACTTTGCCAAATCTCCCTTCGGGGGCAAAACTGCCCTTGATTGGTTAACAGTGTGCCCAGGCAAGAAAAAGGAAAGAAAAACATTTTAGGTAAGGAGGAAGAACATGTGCAAAGGCACAGAAGTCTGCTCCCCCACAGCAGTTTACTGAGACAACCCAGGTGATTAGGGCATGATGTGGGAGAGGGGATGGAGAATTGAGGGAGGGAGGTGACTAGAGACTAAGGAGAAAGGCTATTAAACTCAGGAAAGGAGCCAAGTTGTCTTCAACAACTGACAGTGAGGAAAAATCAGGCCAGTCAGAAGCCTCACCTGTGACGGATCAGCCTATCTGCTACATAGCTGTTAAGTTTATGAGGAAACACACGCACACCGGACAAATCAGCAAAGCTGCCACTGCAAGTGTGTGCACATGTCCCTCACAGAGGTCCCCACAGGAGGCTGTGTGCCACCAGGCAAAATGTGCCTGAAAGGCTCCCTGAGAATGGCCTCCTGAAATTTCTCAATGAGGGCAAATCTTCCTCTGAAGGCGCTTTGGGTGTCTAGAAATAAGCGATCACAACGGAATGGTAAGAGATCAAGGGCGATGATCTTCTATGTCCAAACAATGGTTTGGTCAACAGCACTGTCATCTAATTAGCATGCGGTCTCCCTCACTGGGTGTGTAAAGCAGAGATACTACATCTGTGCATGGATAAACTCTGATCCGCTTATTAAAACGTACCCACACCTCAAGAATACTTTTCTAAAGTATTTCCTGTTTCCTCACATATAATCTGCAAGGAAGATAAATGTGCCTGGACCTCTCCTAACCTTGGGTTTTAGATTCTCCCCGCAGACCACTCTAGTGTGGTTTCCAATTCAATTCCCTCCACATCCCTCCTCCAGTGACAGCTCCAAATGGGGCAGTTTAATTAGAGGTAATAGTTGATGATGGGCCAACAAGTACTCCTCTATGAATGAGGTCCATAATTTCCTTAGTGATGCCATTACCTCTGCATAGCTGACTCCTTGCCAGGAAGCACATACTCAAAAGGGGCAAGTTGGGAGAAACTTGATCAAGCAGAGGTCCTGAAAATCCCAAATCATTCCATAGCTGGTTTCCCTGCTCCGGATTTCCACCAATGAGAATACTGGTGTGCTTCCAATATCCCTGTCTAAGACACTTCAGAGTGGTAATCACCCACCCATCCCTTCAGTCAGCACTGCTCATGTGCCATGAACTGTTAGATGCCATGTACAAAAATGAGTAAGATGTGGTCCCTGCTGTCAGGAGTTCAGTCTAGTGGGGCAGATGGAGAAGACATTAGAGAATTCCAATACAGTACAACAAGTGCTCTGATAAAAATAGGTATGATGGGCAGAAGGAGCGCAGAAGCAGACTAGCTAACGTCTGCATTCACATAGGAAGGGGGCTGAGCCTTGCAGACAAGAATTTAGCCAAATGTGGAAAGTAGAAAAAAGCACTTCAGACAGAATGTACAGCACAGTGCAAAAGGTGTAAAAGCTTGATGCCAAAAAGCTGCAAGTGGCTGAAGTGTAAATTTGGCCCAGAGGTGCAGTGGGGGTGGGGGTGGTAGAGATGGACAGAAGATCAGAAAGACTAGCTGGTAGCCAAATCAGTGGGTCGCATCCAATGATAAATGGTTTGAGATCCTGGGAGGCAGTGAGGGATCTGAACAGGGGAGGGAAGTGCAATTTAGAAAGATTACTCTAGCAGCTATGTGGAAAATGGATTTGGAAAAAGAGAAAAGCATGAATGGAGCAAGAAGGCTCTTACAATCAAGTATGAGCTTTGTGAAGGCAGAGACTGCCTGTGCTTTATTACTTCTTTTCTTCAACATTTAGGCACTCACGGGCACTCAACAGATACGGGTGAATTAAGTCATGGGAAGAAGTGATTAAAAACAAAAACGTCTGAGGAGCACCTGGGGCTCAGTTGGTTAAGCGTCCTACTCTTGATTTCAGCTCAGGTCACGATGGCAGGGTTGTGAGATTAAGCCCCACTTTGGGCTCTATGCTAGGCATTGAGCCTGCTTAAAGATTCTTCTTCTTTCTGTCCCTCCTACCCCCCAAAATAGGCTGGTCTGGTCTGTGGCTAATGATAGGAGGATGTGTCTGAGCCTACAAAATTGGTCTGTGAAGGACGGAAATGAGCACAGGTATGGACGTGGTGATGGTAAGCTGTTAGTGGGGCTAAGAGCAGAATGATTAAAAAAAAAAAAAAAAACAAGATGACCAACCTCGATTCCAGGTAGTGGAAAACGTGTAGTTTTTGGCATAGATCCGCCTCGTCAGAGAGGGATGCTTGAGAATCTGGGATTTACACAGCTGTATCAGACTGTCCACGATGACTGGACTTAGAAGAAAGAAGAGACATTTGGAGATGTAAAGCAACAGGTTGACTCTAAGATCCACTGACCAGAAATCTTATTGCCTTGGGGGAAACTTACCAGTAGGCCTCCCTCTTGGGGGTGTCTTCAGTGGAGTGCCAGAGACGGGCATGAGAGATCACATTCAGAACGCGTTCATCTTGGTTCTCTATATAGTTCTTTGGATCACTGACCAAGCTAAGCACTTTCTCGGGAAGGCCTTCTATTAACTTGGCCTTGGTAAGCCAGAGGGCCTGCTTCACACCTTTGGGGTAATCAGTCACAAAAAAAAAAAAAAAGAAAGAAAAAGAAAAAAAGAAAACGATTCTGTAGGAGTTGCTTAAGTCTGACAGTACCATCTTGGGGAACTGTCTGCCTTGGGAGAATCAGGATTTGTGCTAGGACATCTGAGGAGTCAGAACTAAAATAAGAGTGGAAGCCAGGACGCCAGATTTCAACTCAACTTCAGTACTAACTAATGATGGTCAACAGCTGGCTGAGGTGGTGCGTGCCTGCCCAGGAGGGATTCAAAAAGCGGCAAAGGTGGCTGGGCTCCTAAGGCTGAATCTTGCGGGAGAGTCTGTCTGTTGCCTGCAAGATTCAGACTCCAGACTATATGCCAGCATTTCAAATCCTAGATCCCTTTATTAACCCACATCCAAGGCCCTGATTGGAAGAGCCCATGTCTACCAAATATACTCCATTTGTTAGGTGTGGGCCAAGGATTAAGCCCATGTTGCTTTATCAAGGGAAAATAGTTTTTGTTAAATAATGGAAATAACTTAAGAGACCATAAATAACTTGAGGGACCCTGAGTTGGGGAACACTGAAACATAATCTTTCACATCTCACCTAACCCTGAGCTTCTATAATGAGCTATCTTTAAGCAGATTTTTGTATGCAGAAGCCGTATGAAATGCACTGCTGTTTTTTTGTCGAAAGGATCACATGTTCTATTTATTACACAGGATCCTCCCTGGCCTTACTACCAGAAGGTTGGGGTTTTCCTGGGATAGCATGGTTTTGTCTTATGGACACAGTGAGACTGCATAACTGAAAATGTTCTTCTCTATAACAGGAGTCAACAACTTTTCCCCTAAAGGGCCAGATAACAAATATTTTCAGCTTCTGAGCTGTACATTGTCACAATTCCTCAACTCTGTAGCAATGAAAACAGCCACTTACAAGTAAACAAGTGGGTGTGGCTATGTTCTAATAAAACTACAGAAACAGGCAACTGGCCTAGTCAGTTGACCCTGTCTCTGTACCATTAACAGGCTGAGAGCCAAGTTAAGGGCTCCCCTTTAGCAAGCAGAACCTCACAGAATGGATTTTTTTGTATTCACCTCAGTGTTTTATTTTTCCTTTGTGTGGATTTCCTCACCTCCATGTTTTTAATTTAATTTGGCTGTGTTGTAAAATTTTTGTAAGATGCCTGAAATACTTTTCGGGAAAAGATGTAATATAAATAAAGAAAAATAGATTGGATTCAGTTTGCTTCATTTTTAAACGTTAAGGACAGTTACTGTCAGTGGGATGGGCTGCGATGCCAAGCAAAACTCCCTTACTTCACCTTCCCCGGATCGGGCTTCCCTGAGGGAAGAGAAAGTGCCCAGCACTAGGAACCTAAATTATGCATCAAATCTACATACCAGTCTCCTACCGTCAAAACAATGCTAATACTGTATTCTTCTCCATGAGTGTAGTTACAAGTTAATGGCAGGCTGGTGACTGCTTTGGTTAGTAGGCTACTTGTGCCAATTGGGAAAACACCAGTTTCAGAGACATATTTTCATTTGCAAAGCTATGCCTAGGATTAAATGGAGCCTAGGATACTTTGAAGGAGACTTTCTCAGGCAATTTACTTTGCGCTAATAAATGAAATGCTATGAGGACAGTAAGACTTCACTTTGAGACTTATAGGACCTGGGAAATACAAGCGTTTAGAACAGTACCTTCTGGATTTTGTGGTGCAGCAGAAAAAACACGGGACTGGAGTCAGAGTTTGAGTTCTACAATGCCACTTTTCCTTAAACTTGACAATGGATTAAAAAATTGAGATTTTTATCGTTCACTAGTATATGAGTAATATGTAATTATTAGAGCTGCCATTTACTGAGCATCACCATCTATCCTGTGCCAGGAACTTTATCTCTAAATCTGATGGGATTTTAATGGAACTGGAGGATGAAATTCAGAGACTTTGCTTCAAGTCACATACCCTGTAAGTGATGGTGTGGAGGAAAATCTGAGTCTGTCTGCCCTAAAGCCTGGTCATGGGTCACTTAAGGGTGGGATGCCTGGCTTGCTCAGTTGGTAAAGCATGGGACTCTTAGTCCCAGGATTGTGAGTTCAAGCCCCATGCTGGGTGTGGAGCCTACTTAAAATAAATTTAAAAAAAAAGGGGAGGGGGACGCCAAGTCTTGTGAGGTCCATTTCAGCATTCTGATAGGGCAATGGGAATGTTTAGATACAAGAAATTCAGCTTTCGGGAATGGGTTTGAATGGCTTCAGAGGCTGGCCAGTTGACTTACTTTTTTTTTTTCAAATCTAGGATTTATTCTTTGGTTTAGTTTCCAAATCCTGCCAGGCGTCTTCCTTTCCTAATTACTCTTTGGAAAATAACTGCTCCCACTGACCCTGAGACGGTTTTGTGTTTTCAGAACCTGCTCTACTTCCACGGTGATTAAGGGACTAGGGAAGAACAGCAAGAACAGGGACAGAGACTCTCAACAAACGAGCCCCTCCCTCCTGCCTCCCTCGGACTCTGGAAAATAACTTCTGGTTTTACTCTAGACACAGACTGGCTTTATTCGGCTCAGGCATTTTGACCTGTTCTTAGTGAAAGGGGTGCAGAAGCAGGCCAGATGGCTTTTAGGTCCAGATCCCTTCCTGGAAACATCTCAGTTTTGACCTCTGACAGAGGAGGGCGACCTAGGAGACGGGAGACAGAGCCCTGGCTTCACCATTAACCCAGAGCACGTGTGCCCACACCACGTCCCTCTCCGTCACCTTCACCAATCCCGCGAAAACAGGCCAGAGGCCAGGAGATTAAGCAATGCTTTAGCCTCCCTGCATCTAATTCTTCGGTGTACAGGTACGTGTCAGGGCGTTAAGAGCTGGAAGGGTCAGTGCGGACCACCTAGGCAGAACCGCCGAGCTCACAGAAGAGGCCGGCTCCCGAGGATTCAGCCCCTTGCCCCGAATCACAGAGCTGGACGGCAGAAGCCGGGTCTTTCCCCTTGGCCACTCCACCTCTCCAATCCTGCCTCACACGGGAGCAGCGCTTCTCATCCCACTTGGGCTCGAAACCCTCAGAGGACGTAATCACTACCCATTTCGCAGACGGAGAAACCGAGACCCACGAAGTTTCAAGGCCACAGGGGGCTGGGGTCAGTGCTGGGCGGAGGGACGGGGGACGAGGGACGAGGTCCCCTCCGGCCCGTCCTGTAGGGCCTCACCCTCCAGGAGGCGGCAGCGCTGGTGGAAGACGTAGCAGACCCGATCCTTGTACAGCGGCTGCTCGTGAACCGGAGTCGGGCGGCGGAACTTTGGGTGCGTCCAACCAGGGTCCCAGGGCGGGAAGACCGGCCGCGCCAGGCCGGGCATGAAGTGCATCTTCCCCGCGTAGGTGATGGGCTCCAGTCCGGGGATGTCGTACACCCTGTTCAGGGGCCGAGGCTCGGGCTTCCGCGTGGAGCGCACACCCCACTCGTACGCCCCGCGCGCCGGGGCCCCGCAGTCCCCAAGGCCGAGCCGCGCAGGGCGAACCAGCGCCCGCCTCGCGGGCCCCGACGCCAACGCCATGCCAACTCGATCCCCCTCACGCCCTCTACCTGGACGCCGCCATGTTCCCGCGCGCAAGGCCTGCTGGGAGCGAAAGGGGCGGGGCGCCAAGCCTCGTTTCGTGAGTGGCAGCCACTTCAACCAATCATAATCTAGACATCCTAGCCTTGCCCCACCCCCACAGGCTATTTTCATTTTAGAGACCCTCCCTTCCCCACCCCACCCCCGCCGCCTCCCTGGGGAGGGCGGCACCCGGAGGAAACTCGAGGGCAGGCGCAGGTGTGTAGGTGAGTGGTCTTGGGATAGGCTGGGATAGGACTAGGGGTAGGACGCCAGTACTTCCGATCCCAACGTAGGGCAACCTGGGCGGTTGAAGTTTGGGTAGGGTACTTCCCTCCGAACTTAGCCCCTAAGTTAGAGCACCTGCGCAGCGCCCGGGCCGTGGGGGGTGCGCTCCCGTCTCCTTGCTTCACCACCCGCTGCTCGCCGCTGCCCCTCCCCGAGCCTGAGATGGCTGCATTCGACTGCACGCCCCTTCCCCAGCGTCAGGAGGGAGTTAGTTTCCCCCCTTTCCTCGGGGTTTCCCTGTCCGCGTCCCAGAAGCAAGGCCAGAGCTGGGAGAAGTGTTCCTTTGCTCCTTGCACCAACACCTGTTTTATCAAATGCTTGCAATGTGTTCGGCCCTGTGATGGGCATTTGGTTTGCGTTGGTGAATAAAACAGCTATGGAATGTAGAGTGCATGGGTAGAAAGCAAGTAAAGTCCACGAATAAGCCGTTGCAACTGGCAAATGTGTTTTCCATTCTTTTCCCCCAGTTATTTTTTCGTTTTTAGCATTTAACACTAAAGGCCGGGTTTTCCATTTTGATCTTGTCTCATGATGTCTCTCGCGCTAGAATGTAAACCCCATGAGCGCAAGGGGTTTTGCTTCTTCACTGCTCTGTCTCCACCTAGCACAATGCCTAGCACTAACAAATATATGTTAAATGAATCAATACGTAATAGAAACAAATAGGGTGCATGACAGAGAAGGAGAAGGAGGAGGGTCAAGGTGGACCTCAGAGGAGGTGACCTTTAAGGAAAAGCCCTGAAGGATGGAGAGAGTCATCCTACCAGAGGCAACAACGTGTCAAGTCCTAGCTTAAACATAGCGCTTCTTATACTGAAGAGGTAGAGGCTAGAAGGAGGCAGGAACCAAATTTTTTTTTAAAGATTTTATTATTTATTCGCAAGAGACACAGAGAGAGAGAGGCAGAGACACAGGCAGAGGGAGAGGCAGGCTCCATGCAGGGAGCCCAACATGGGACTCGATCCCGGGACTCCAGGATCACGTCCTGGACCAAAGGCAGGCTCTAAACCGCTGAGCCACCCAGGGATTCCAGGAACCAAATATTTATTTTTTTTATTTTTTTTTAATTTTTTATTTATTTATGATAGTCACAGAGAGAGAGAGAGAGAGAGAGAGGCAGAGACACAGGCAGAGGGAGAAGCAGGCTCCATGCACTGGGAGCCCGATGTGGGATTCGATCCTGGGTCTCCAGGATCGCGCCCTGGGCCAAAGGCAGGCGCCAAACCGCTGCGCCACCCAGGGATCCCCCAGGAACCAAATATTTAAAAGTTCATGACGGACTTGGCCAACTTATCTGCCATCCAAAATATCAAAGAAGTAGGATAATTAAGACCCAGAGAAGGTAGGTTCAAGGCAAGTACTGATAGGAATAACCCTCACACTGTCTTGCAGATTACAGTTCACAGAGCTCTCTGTTCTCTCACTTATCTTGCAAAAACTGCAAGAGTTAAAAAAAGCATGAAGAGGGTTCTAGACTTCATTCACTCACAATGCATCCCTGGTCCATAGCACAAAACAAAAATGGTTTGGATTGAGATAACATCATGTTAGGCTGCAAGTTCTATAAAGGTAGAGAGCCCATTTCCTATTTACATCTTATGTCCCAGCACCTAGCACTGTGCCTGGCTCTGAGACCTTATCTACAAACTAAATGAGCGCTCACCATTCACTGGAGCCTTCCATATGCCAGGCTTGTGCTTGGTGGTGGAATACAGAAAGAATAAGACACCATCCTTGCCCTCAAGCCTGCTAAACCTTCTTGAAATCATAGAGTTCATGAGCAGTAGAACCAAGTTTTCTGAAACCAAGCCCTTTCTAGTATAAGAAAAAGATGTATTGCACACAGAGGGACTGCCCTTCCAAAACTAAATGGTAAGAGGTTTTGGACAAGTTCTGATCAGAAGGATCCTGGGGCACCGGCAAGAAGATTAGATTGGAGCCAGTAGGCTATTGGGGAGCTGTTAAACGTTGCTAAGCGGGAGACTGTCGTGATTAGAACTGGTGGCAGATGTGCCAACGGATGGTGTAGGGAGAGACTGGAAGCACATCCTCTGGGATCATTGGAAGCTCCAGTGTAAATGGACATGGGAAGCAGGAAAAGTAGAAAAGGCCTTAAAGGTTAGGAATTGTGGGAAGTGATTGGTAACCAAGAAACAGGACCTCCCTGTCTTTTAGGAACTATGTGACCTTGTGTACATTATTAACCACCCCCCCGCCCCAGACCCCAGTTTTCCCATTTATAAAATGACATCTCTAGTACCAGCCTCATTATAAAGATTAAATGAAATGCAGCAGTTTGGTGAGTGACTTACCTTGCTGAAAGAAACTAGACACAAAAGAACATAGGATTCTGTTTACATAAAGGCAAAAACCCGGCAAAGCTGAACTATAGTGATTAAATTTGTACACAAAGGTGGCAAAACCAAGGAAAAGCAAGGGAATGTTATACCAAAGGTCAGGATTATGGTTACTTTATGGGGGATGGGAGGTGATCAGGAAGGGACACATAGGAGTGGCTTCTGGGTTGCTAGCAAGGTTCTTCGTACTTGACTACATGATAGCTACAGAAGCGTTTTTTGCTAATCTTATTTCTAAATAATTTTATAATTATTAAATTACACTTAAGTATTATATTTTATCATTTGAAATATTTTTTAAATTCATTACGGTTTTCTATGTTAAGTGCTTAATTCAGCACTCAAAGTCTGGGAAGAAATCAGGAAACTTTGGTTGCCAGCTCTGGTTGTTGTGTCCCGTCTGCCTGCTTCCCCTGCCAGGCAGCAGATCTCAGGGTTGATTCATCCCTGTCCCACTGCTCACACAGAGTGTGGCACCTGCAGGCCTCAGAATGGGAGCAATAGAGGTGGCCAGAGTGTAACCCACATGTTTTCCTTCTCTCAGGCCAACAACAGAGGGTCTGGGCCTGTGGCCTCACAGAGTCAGATCTGTTCCGGGAGGAGCACCAATTTTCCCTCCCAGGCTGCTCAAGCCCCACTGATGACGGATGAGAATGAGGAGAATGATGATGAGGAAGCCTGGCTGCAGCTTCGGCCGGTGGAGCCCTTGCCCTCTCAATGCTGTGGCAGTGGCTGCTCACCTTGTGTGTTTGACCTCTATCACCGAGAGCTGGCAAGGTGGGAGGCAGCCCGAGCCAGCAAGGACAGGAGCCTTCTGAATGGGGAGGAACCACAGGTGAGAGAGCACTGCTCCTCAGACAAGAAGGGCCAGGGTGGCAGTGTCAGCCTGGCCTCTGCCCTGCACAGTGCACCTGTGTGGGGAAGCTTTTCCTGACTCTGCACAGCAGAGAAAAAAGAGTGTGCTTAATAGAAGCAGACAGATCCAAGTTCAAAGCGTGACCCTGAATTGGGCATGGGGTCGTTCCAGGAGTGAATGAGGTTTGGGCATTTTACAGGAGAGAGATCTGTGAGTCATGACATTCAGAGAGGACTTCCTGAAGGAGGTGCAGGTGGGTGGAATGTTAAAGGCAGTGGGCTGAGACTTAGAAGACATGAATTTGAATTCCTGCTCAGGGATGACCTTGGACAAGTAAGCCACTACCACTCAGGCCTCAGTTTCCCCACATGGAAAATAAGAATATTGGATTAGATCATCTTAAGTTCCCATCAATTTCTAAATTTTGCAAATCTGGATTTTTGGTAGGTTTGAAGGATGAATTGATATTTCATACGTTGGAGATGCATATTCTGCATAAGGGGCACAGCTTGAACAAATAAAAACTCCCAGATAGCAAGCAGGGAAAACAGAGACAAGTTTGGCATCTGCTACACTGGAGAGACAATGAAGCTTGAGGTTTGTCCACAGGCCCGTGGAGTATCCCTCTAAAGAGACTGCACGTTATCCTGTGGCTAAAGGAGCCACAGAAGGCTTCTGAGCAGGGGCAGCTCAGTATGAAAAGCTCAGGTCTTCTTAGATCAGAGCATGAAGGGGAGGGGAGGTGAGACTACTCTCTATTATACAGAAAACTTTCAGGCAGAGAGAAAGAGCCTGTTCTGGGGGACAGCAAAAAAGGAGCTTGTGGGTGCTTGTGTGTCTGTTGTGCCTAGCTGTTGGATATTTTCCTGTTGCAGAGCTGCCTGTCTAGGCTGAGCCCAGAGACCTTCCTGGCTTTCCGCATCAGTGCCATGGACAGACTCACCGAGGACACTTACCGTGTTCGGTTTGCGCTCCCCAGGAACAGCCAGCTCGGCCTGCGGCCTGGCCAGCACCTCATCCTACGGTACACTCAGTGGGAGGGCCAGAGCTTTGCAGCCCCGCTTTGTCATTTACTGGCTGTGTGGTCACAGGCAACTTGCTTCACTTTCCTTAAGCCTGCATTCATCACCTTTATTTATTTTTTTTTTAAGATTTTATTCATTGATTCATGAGAGACACACAGAGAGAGAGAAAGAGGCAGAGACATAGAGGGAGAAGCAGGCTCCATGCAGGGAGCCCGATGTGGGACTCGATTCCAGGACCTCGGGATCACACCCTGAGCTAAAGGCAGACGCTCAACCACTGAGCCACCCAGGCATCCCCATTCATCACCTTTAAAGTAAACGTATTGCTGCCTGACTCAGAGGGTTCTGGGATTGTGTTTTCATAATAACCAACAGTAGCAGCAAACACTTTCATTGCATTTATTCTCCAAGGCACAGTTCTGTATGCTCACACCTAGCAACTCATTGAATACTCACACAACTGTGTATGGAGGAAACCAAAGTTGGAGAGGTTCAGTAACTTGCCCAAAGTCACCCAGTTAGGAAGTGGTGGAGCCAGGATGTGAAGGCAAGCCGTCTGCCTCTAGAGCCTGCAGTATGAATCTAATAGTAGTGCCAGTTGATAGGAAGGACACTTGTCCTCCAGCATAAGGGACTTGCCCAGGATCATGCAGCTAGTAAGTCCTGCAGCCAGGATTCAAACCGAGACAGCCTGGCTCCCCAGCTACCCTCTACCAGTGTCTTCTGCAGTTTCTTCCTCTTCCAAGCCTCCTTCTGACATCTCCCCCAACCTTGATCCCCTCCCAGCCCACCTGCCCAGGGTCAAGGCCCTTTGGGACCTCCAGGTGGAGGCATTGCTAGATGGTTGACTCTGGATCTGAGGCTCAGCAGAGAGAGATGAGCTATAGATGTGGGTGTGGGAATTATCAGCCTGTACCTGGATGGCATTTGGGAGCATATGAGGCATGGAAAGAGGGACAAAGGGCCAAACGGACAACTCCAGCATTTGTGGTATTGGCAGGAAAGGGAGGAGCCAGCAAAGCAGACAGAAGGTATAGCCAAGGACACCTTGGGGCCTCAGTCCTTTAAGGTCTGCCTTTGACCCTGGGGTTCTGGAATCGAGTTCAGAGTCCTGCTCAGCAGGGTGCCTACCTCTCCCTCTCCATCTGCCACTCCCTCTGTGCACTCACACATGCTTGCTGTTTCTCTCTCTCCCCCCAAATAAATACATAAAATCTTAAAAAAAAAAAAAATAGGTACAGCCAGAGGATGAGGAGAGTATCTTACTACTGGTCACATTTGAGCCACTTGTCTCATGCTGACCCTGGTATCTGTGCCCAGTGTATTCGGCCTGTGGCCTGGCTGGCTGTCCTTAAAGCTCAACATCCCAGCAGCTCCAGGGCAGCCCACAGCCCCATGCAACCGTCCATTCATGAATCAGGGATGCCCAGCACTCTCTGCCCTGAGCTTGGCCCCTCTCCTCTACCCTCTCTGCTGCTCCAGTGACAGCCCTAAAACAGGTATCTGACCATGTCACTCCCTTCTGGTGTTCCAGGGAAGCTCTCCAAGGCCCCAGCTTCCTTCCCCACCAAGTTCTCCCCACTCCTCCCTCACATTCGTGCCTTGCTCCAGCCTCATGACCCACTCACCAGTTCCTGGCTTGCTCTGTATTTCCTACCTCTAAGGTCTTTCCCAGGCTGTGCCTTCTGCCTGGATTACTTCCTATCCTGTCCCCACTTTTATCTGTCAGTGGCCTGCCTCTTTCATACCCAGGATGGTAGCAAAAGCTCCAGGAGGCCTCTTGAAGCTCCCCGGCTGCGAGTGCTCCCTCCGTGTGGAGCGTGTCCGTGTTTACCTCTGTGGTAGCAGATGCCACAGTGCTCTTTGCATCCCTGCCACACCACATGTCGTGTTTATTATTTCCTTGTTTGTTCTCTAAGCATTTCTTGAATATTTTGGTCTGGCTTCTTGCTTTTGATGCATTAGGATGGGGCTTTGTAATTTTTTATTCTTTTTTTAAAGATTTATTTATTTGTTGAAGAGAGAGTACATGTGTGCGAGAATGGGGAGGGACAGAGGGTGAGAATCCCAAGCAGACTCCCCACTGAGCATAGAGTCTGAAGCAGGGCTTGATCCCACGACCCTGCCGAGATCATGAGATCATGACTGAGCTGAAATCAAGAGTCAGACACTTAACCAACTGAGCCACCCAGGCGCCCCAGGATGGAGCCTTTTTAATGTTTGCATACCTCTGAGAAGAAAGTTTTATACACAGTAGGACTCAAAAGAGGGGTGCTTGGATGCTCCTGAGAACCTCTGAGGTGTTGTGTGAGGAACCTGGCTCTGGAGTCAGACAGAGCTAAGGGTGAATTTCAGCTGTGTGACCTCAGGCGAGTAACATCCTAAGCCTTGGTTTCCTCATGTGGGTTATTGTTGGCTAAATGAGATAATGTACACAATATGCTTGGTCCATAGTAGGTATTTAATACAACTTGGCTCTTATTATTATTGCTCATGATTATCATCCTGGCCCCCTTGTTGATAACATCATAAAAAGGATTCATGCATGAGGTCAGGTTTTCGACTAGGGCACCTTTGAGGATCCTTCTAATTCTGATACTTCTGGTACCGGTAGTAAGTATTTAATAAATGTTAGCAGTCTTTATCTTTCTCATTCTGTAGTCAGGAAGAGGTCAGGACCAACCACAGTGATGTCCTAAAAACAGCTCACATCATCAGTGGACTCTCTGAAAACTTGCCCATCTGTGATCCCATTAAAACCATACAACAGGGACACACATGGTTGTCCCCACTTTACAGAGGGGCAGCTAAGGGATCAGTGACCTGCCTAGGTCTCACAGCCAGCATGTGGCAGTGGGGGAGCCCAGCACTCCTTTTTTCTGTTCCACCTTCAGTGAGGACTACTGGAGCGGCCAGGCCACAGCTAGCTTTCCCCAGCCTGGCATAGAGTAGGTACCTATAAGTGTTTGTCAAATGCCTGGCTGAGTACCTGACCATATATATGCTTTTCTTTCTCAGAGGGAAGGTGGATGACTTAGAAATTCAGAGAGCCTATACACCCATCAGCCCTGCCAATGCAGAAGGGTACTTTGAAGTTTTAATCAAGGTGAGCTGACCCACGCAGATGCTCTTAGGATGGTACAGACCAGACCTCTGTTTGCCACCTGGGTCAGGATGGGGCGGTGCCCCCCATGTGGGAAAAGCCAGTGTTCACGTGGGAGGAGGCTGGCTGGAAAGTGCAGTCAGAGTGAAGGAAACCTTCTCCCGTCTCCTCCTTTCCCAGGGGAGGGGGGCTGTCACCTCAGACCGCAGCAGAGACAGATTCTGTGAAAAGGAGGCTCAGACTGAGAAAAGTAATGCTGTTCCCTCCTGTCTTCTCAGCTATTCACAGGGAGGGAGGGAGCACTGAGCCCCAGGGAAGGGGCAACCAAGTCTCCTGTCCCTGCTGTGTACTGGTGGCTAGGGTTCAAAGATGAGTCAGATACACTCCCGCCCTGGGATGGGGGGCCAGACCAGGGCAGTACAATGTGAGAGATGCCGTGACATGAGGCCCCAACCTGATTCAGGGCAGCTGGGGGTGCAGGGAAGGCAGCGGGGCTTCCTCACAGAAGCTGAGTTTGAACCGTGCATTGAAATTAAGGAGTGGAGGAAGGTCACAGGGCCAGAAACAGCACGTACGATGGCAGAGGAGGCCGGTTTGAGGAGCTGTTCATCACTTGTCTCAGAATAGAAGGGGGCGAGCAGCAAAAAGGTGGGGCCTCAGACATTCTCAGGGAGTAGACAGGGGCTAGGGCATTGGAATCGGGCCTTGAGGAAGGAATACAAATTGGCAGTGACAGGGAGTGGCATTCCAGGCCGAGGGGACAGATGACCAAAGGCAAGGAGGAGTGAAACAAGGTCTTGTGGCAACTGTACCCAGTCTGATTAGGTTGAAGAGAGGTGCTCATGGGGGCAGCCGGGGTGGGAGGGGCACTTGGCAGAGAGGAGATGAACAAAATGGGCTGGGTACAAATACTGCCCCCACCCCCTAGGACCCAAGGACTCCGCACCAGATGTATAAGAGGTCTTGAAGATACGATTATGTGGAAAAAATAATGAAACTTTGGATATGCTAACATTTTTGACTTACAGAAACAGTAGCTTCACAGAGGTCAACCTGATATACAGTCTACATCATCATTTCCCAAACAGAATCCTAGGGAACACTGATATTTAAGAATAGCTTTCACATCCTTTATCTCCCTTGTAGGATGGGAATTATTATTCCCCTTTCACTGACAAGCAAACTGAGACCCCAGGAGGACCCAAGGCTCCACAAGTATTAAGAAGTGTAGCCAGTGAGCAAGTCCTGGCCTCCTGACTCCAGGACCCCAGGGCTGTCTTGGCTCCTGCCTTCCCTGACTGCAGTCAAAGCCCAAGTGTTTATTCCCTCACACAGAAGCTTGGATGGGATCCCTTCTCCACGCAACTGTTTGTCTGGGAGATTCCACAAATCCTCTCCAAATGGCCTGCTTCCCCAAGCTGCTTTTCTGGGTGTGTTTCTGTTGAAAGGATAAGCCTGGAGATAGTTCTTCAGGGCAGCTGGATCTCTCCCAGCTGCAAGACTGATTTTCTCCTTCGTTTACCGGAAAGCCTCTCTTTAGAGAGATGCTTAATTATCCCTAAGCCGCTGGCTGGGAAGAGCTGGAAATGTCTTTGCAAATTGTGGAGGCAGGCGAGTTTTTTAGGTTTACCTCCCCTGTGGATGGGAGGGAGGCATTCCCATCTCTCGGGCACTGTCTGGGCACCAGGCACTCTTTGCAGCTCTTCATGTTCATCATCTCCTTTCAATCTCGTAACCATCCTGCGGAGTAAATCTCATTATCCCACTTTACAGATAAAAAAACTGAAGCTCAGAATGATGACGTCACTGTCCCAAGGCCCCTTGGGTAACATGATCCCACATAGAAGAACAGAAGTTCAGTGTCAGTTCTGTTTAATGAGTACAGACTAAGCAGGCTCCACGCGCGTGCTGGAGACACAGAAGAATCCTTCCTTTCTCCTTGAGTGCTGTCTATGCTATAGGGCCATGGAAGCCATACCTGGGGCTATGGCTCCCCCAAGACGGGGTCCAGAAAACAGGCATCTTCTGAGACAAGCCTCCAGCGAGTTGGGAGGAGAACTTAGCCTCCCTCCCAGACTTCCTTCCTACAGGAGGGCTGTGGACTTACCTTGCCTGATGCATATGGAACCCAACAAAGTCAGAGATGCTCCCAGAGGTAGCTGTGGGTATTCAAAAGCATGTCTGGTGACCAAAGCCCAGTCTCCTTCAAACTTGGTTATATTCTCACTCCAGACACCCTTCAGGTCCTGTCAGAGCTTCCCCCTTTCCCTCACACTCCTATGTCTTGGGCTGTCCTACCCTTGACCATATCACATCTGATACCCAGAACCCTGTCTGCCTTCCTGCTCCCATCCCTAGTGAATGCAATCTTGCCTCGTCTGCAAGGTGCAATTCAAATGCGTCCTCCTCCAGGAAACCACCCTTGATCCTACTCCATTGGAAGTGACTGTACCTCCTCAGGGCTCTCTCAGCATTCTGTTCTTTTTGTTGGGTATTAGACTGTCTCTACCTTGTATATATGTGAGACTTTGGCCCTCCTAGTTTGTGAGCTCCTTAAGGGAAGGGCCTGAATCTGGATTGATTCACTGATTCATTGAGATATCTATGAAGTCTTTTCCAAGGTTCTGGCACTGACTGCCTTCACGGAGCTTAAGATCTAGCTGTCTTCCATGCAGCCCCAGCATGGTGCCTGCCCACTCCCAGGAGGGAATCCTCTCCACAACCCTTGCTTTTCCATCCAGCCAGGAGACAGTGACAGGTAATGCAGAGGTTGCAAATGAGTGGCCTGCAAATGGATTACAGCACTTAAGTGTATTTGGTTTGGGCCTACAGCATCTTAAATTTAGAATTAATTCTGATATTTCAAAAGTAAAAAATTTGAATCTCTTACCCCTCTTAGAAAATCAGAAGATATGGCATCATCAGCCTCATAATCCACCTCGCAGAATCTGCAAAGCGACTTCCTCCTTTAGAAGGAGCATTCATGCACTCACCAATTTACCACAGTCCCCACCACCCCCTATGGTCTCCCCAGTAGAGTGAGTGTCAGTTGCCATTAATCATCTCATACCCAGTTCTTTACTCAGTGATGTTACATCACAGGAACCCCATAGTCATGTGGTTTTGAGACCTCTGAAAGTAAGCCTGTCGGTCCTGTGGTTCTTATCCCAGCCTCACCATTTCCCTTCTGGATAAGCTTCTGGGCCCTCATGTGAAAACTGGGACCCATGTACGAACTCTGGGGCAACTAGGAGGATTCAGTGAGATAACCCATGTCAGGCGCTTGGCCTGCACCCGTCCGAATGAGGTTTCCTTGTATTTGCTCCCAGTGCTACGAGACTGGGCTGATGTCCCGGTATGTCAAGTCCTGGAGTACAGGAGACACAACCTTCTGGCGAGGACCTTTTGGCGACTTCTTCTATAAACCAAACCAGGTCAGTGCCAGCACACCAAGTCCCCAGGAGACCCCTCCTGGCTTAGCTTCCAGGACCACGGTTTTTAGGTTTCAGGCTGGAGAATTGCACTGTAGTCTTCCTGAGCCCAAGCCCAAGCCCAAAAGCATCCTTGGGGTTGGACATGGGAGGAGATGGGATGGGCACAAAGAAACAAAACTGCCTGCATATGCTCTACAACTATCCAGGGCTGCCCATTGCCTAGAAAATACATACTCATGTACCTGGTACTCAGGACTCCTGTACCATCAGACCCTCAGACATCTTTCCACTTTCACATTCCAGCTATAACACCGTGGAGACTACTCCCTTAAATATACTCCATAGCTCTCCAGTCAAAGGCTCTTTCTCTCATCTTCCTGGCATATTCATATCCTTCCCTGATGTGCCCAAGAATTAATAATTTCTCATTAGTTGTTGCCTATCTGGAAGGCAGCTTGGCAGTGCGTACCAAGAGTCTTAAGAATCTTCAAATCCTTTGACCCAGTAATTCCACTCCTGGAAGTCTGTCCTGTGGAAAGAATCCAAATGCTGCCTCTTGTGCATATGTTCACTGAAGCTTTATTTATAATAGCAGGAAATTGGAGGAAACTGAATATTCAGCCGCAGGGGAACAGTTAAATACAATGGGTTACAGGTACTTGATAGAATATCATTCGGATTTTTAAATTATGTTTATAAATGATGTCATATGCTTATGCTATAAGATCAGGTGACAAACACTATGTACAAAACTGCGTATACAACAGGTTGGAAAACTAAGTTTAAATGCACAGGAATAAATATGAAAAGAAAATGCAATGCAGTGTTAGTAGCTCTGAGTGGTGGAATTATGGGTGATTTTCGTTTTCTTCATTATACCTTCCAAATTATCCACAGTGAATACCTATTACTTTTATAATTAGGCAACAAAGCAAATCAAAAGCAAATGAAAAAGAATGAATCATTCCTTTCTCTGTTATTTTTGTTTAATATAAAAATAGCTTTTATTGTTTTTTTCCTTATTACAAATACAGTACTTGTACATTACCAAAATAATAATAATAAGTCAGATATGGAGAGGCAAAAGGAAGAAAAGAAAGAACACCTGTAGGCTGCCTACCCAGACATACCAGGCTCGCTACCATGGCAGAAACCTTCCAGTTCCCCTTCTACACATGGATGGAACAGCCATGCACGCACACGCGTGACCAAACTATGAGGCATGTGGATGGTGCTGCCTATGTGCCAGGTTCTGATGTTCACACTTGCTATATAAAACTTTATTTTACCCTCATGGCAGCTCTTAGGTACTGCTACCTCCATTTTGCAGACATGTGTGCTATGTATGTTGCAATACTCTTCTGCAGCATACTCCTAGTATAAACCATGCTCAGCCTTGCGTTTTAGCTGTCCCCCAGCCCCTGAAAGCAGGGACCAGGATTGTCCTTGTTTCCTTCTGACCTAGAGGGGACACCTGATGAACATTGTTCTGAGCATTTCCAGGTGAAGCCTTCTCCATGTCCACAGAATGCCCCTACCAAGTCCCTGCACTTCCTATCCAGGGAGGTTGTAGGGCTAGTCAGAGAGAAGAGATGGCATCTCACACAGAAACATGTGGCTGCTGAAACCAGCTAAGGCTTGGTTCTATGCCCAGGGGACATGGGCTGCTCTGGCCCTCTCCCTGGCCCTGCCTTGCCTCTCTGCAGTCATCTTCATTGTAGATGGATATCGTGGCAGCCCTGAGACTGGCATATGAGCATCTGTCCATGTGTTCCTTCCAGCCCCACCCAGGGCCACAGACAGGTGGGACAAGGCCCTGTTCTCCAGAAGCTCACAGTGTGATGGGGGACAGACACCTACACAAATGGTGGCAGTACGGCATGACTAGTGTCGTGAGGAGGGTGCACAGAGGTGGGCATGCAAAAGAAGGACCTCTCACATGCTACTGGCTCGGGGAAGACTTTCCAGAAGAGACCTTGAGCAGTGGTGGGAGAAGGAGGAGAAGCACACATGCTGGGGACCAGGAGGCTGAGGATGTGCACACGGGACAGGGGTGGGAGCAGGAGTCTGGGGGCACGCAGGATAGGGTGGTGTGTCCAGTAGTGGGGCTCCATGACAGAAGGGGTCAAATCCTGTGGAGCAGCAGGATCCACACCAGACACTTGATGGCATCTCGTTTAATCCTACAACAATTCTGAGGCATGTGCTACAGTGGGGAGGAGCTGTTATTGTTATTTTTAACATGATGAAACCAAGGCTCAGAGAAGTGAAGCAGTTGGCCAGATCATACAGCAGAGGATTTATACCCATGTCTGCATGACTGATACTCAAGGGAGTGTTTCATGCAGGGGCGTGATATGCATTAGTGGTGAAAACTTGGCCTGCATTCTAAGAGGCCTAAACTCTAGAATGCAGGAGGTAACTACTTGGCCACATAGGTCAGGCACTAACCTTTAAAGCACTGACCTTAAAGAAGATCATGCCTCCTAAACAGACCGAGAGCCAGGAGATGGATTCGTGGATTCAGTGATGGGTTGGCGGCATTGGGGCCTCTTAGGAAAGATTCACTTTTATTGCGTGGCTCTTCTGTGCCAGCATTGTGCTAGGCGCTTATGCATAGTATCTCAGACTAGAGAAGAGCAGGCTCAGGGATCCATGCCAGGGCCCTCAGATCTCTGCAGAGCTGCCCACGGGTGGAGAAGGCGGCCTACAGGGCAGGGCTGGGGTAGGGGCGGTGGGCAAGGCTTTGGCAGGTGCACATTTCAGCTCAGTGTGAGGTAGAGAGATCTCCCTGGCAAGGGGAGTCAGCCTATAACAGAGCAAACGGCTTTGGGAGGTAGTGGGCTCCCTGTCAAGAGAGGTAGTAAACAAAGTCCTGTGGAGATTCGCAAGAAAGTAACTAAGCCACTTGGAGGATGGGCTAGACCATTTCATGTATCATCAGCCCCCAGAGTCCATGATTGCTGTTACACAGACCTCACAAGCCAGGATGGCTTCCTGGATGATGTAGACAGGGGAACTCAGATGTGCTGTGCAGTTCAGGCAAGCCCCAGAAAAGGCCATGTGGCGGGTGAGCGGGCTGAGACCTGCCACATCCCCGTTTCGATCCCCAGCACGGTGAGCTCCTCATGCTGGCATCGGGCACTGGCCTGGCCCCCATGGTGCCAGTCCTGCAGAGCATAACAGACAACGCAGAGGACGAGACCTTCGTCACCCTGGTCGGCTGCTTCAAGACCTTCGAGGGCATCTACCTGAAAACCTTCCTCCAGGAGCAGGCCCGTTTCTGGAACGTCCGAACCTTCTTTGTACTCAGCCAGGTGAGTCCTGCATGGGTACTTCCTTCCCAGATTGAGGCTGTGCAGTCCCCCTGTGCCCGACCTGAGGACCTGCTGTGGCCTCCCTGCCCCACTATACCAGTAATCTCTGCTGCCAGTGGGAACCCCCCACCTCACCCCCGTGTGCCTTGCAAGGAAGGCAGGTACAGTTTTGTTTGGGTGGATGCGGGAACCAAGCTCAGAGAGGTGAAGGTGCAAATCTGTCCATGCTGCTGGCTGGGGCAAAGCTAGGCCTGGAGCCCTGGGAGAGCTCCAGCCCTCCTCACCATGCTGCCTGCCATCTGCCTCTGGCATCACCAGGTATAGGGCTGGGGGCCTGTTTGTGGAGTCAGTGGGCCAGGCCGCAGATGTCCCCCAGTGGGGGGATAAGCTCCTTCAGGGCGGAGATGATGTGTCTGGATCATCACACTGTCTTCGGTGCTTAGCAGAGTGCCAGGCACAGAGTAGGCATGCATTCCATCAATAATTGGTGGAGCAAGCTTGCTCTGGGTTCACCAAATATATCAGGGTGAACCACACCACATTGCTCCTACATGGGAAGAAAGCTGCTTCCAGACTCCCTGCTGCAGATACTGAACTGCTTCCTGACCCCTGCCCCTGAGATCCCTCCTCCCCGCATGCCCCCAAGCCACCCTGCCCACTCCCTCCCCTCTGGCCCAGGGTTTCTCATCAGAAGCCAGGCCCTAAGCTGCCTTCTCCTTGATCTACCTTTATTTCTCTTCCACACACCCCCAGGGTGAGGGCCTTCCCCCCATTCTGTGTTGCTCGGGGTTGGCCTCACTGCCCAGTACTGTGAAGCACTCTTCTCATCAGTTTCCTATTTGAGGCAGCATCAGAGGGTCCCTAAAGACTGCCGTGATCTTCACTATTGTGATCGGGTCGGGGCGGGTGTCAGGGAACCGGGTTTCCCCACCCCAGCCCCAGAGGTCCTGGAATCCTCGGTGCCCAGGTTCTGTGGGCCTGTTCATGGGACAGAAGGCTTAGTGGCATGAACATCGGGAGGGCCATGCTTGGTGAACATTAGCAGGAACAGGAGGTGCTGAAGGCCGGAGAACAAAGCAGAGGCTAGTGTGCAGCCTGACTCAAGGGCCAGGTCAAAGGAAGGTAGGAGGAGTGGCAGGAAGGCTGGCACCAGGCACTGTCAGCTCTTGACCAGCCTTCCTCCCCCCACCCCCAGCCACATGTCAGGTGCCAGGGAAGGTCAGAAATGAGGACAACCTGCCCCCAGCCCTCCAGGCACTCACCTTTCTATGGGGAGACAGCCACAGGGGTGGCTTCACTGACCATTTTCTTTGTGCCTGGCAGTGTTCTAGGCACTCTGTGTGTGTTAAATCATCTAATCCCACCACAATCTTAGGAGGCTTGTACTGCCACCGTGCCTGTTCTATACATATGGCAAAAGAACCTTGACCAAGTGGGTGGAGGGTTAGGTGTGAACCCAGGTGGTCCTGCTCCAGAGGTCCTGCTTTTACTGCTTGTTGGTATAAGACAGCACAGGGAGAGGTCCCACATGGAGGGTGCGGAGGGTACTGGCAGCAAGCAGGGAGGGCTTCACAGAGGAGCTGGCATTGACCCTGGGCTTGAGGGCAGAGTTAAAGTTGACCAGGAATAAAGGGCCTTCAGCCCTGGGCCAGGCATTGATGATGCCAGTGGCCTGGGACTGGGCAGGCGAGTGAGCTGGCTGTCAACGACAGGAGCAGGTGAGGGGTGATGGAGTGGGAGGTGCCTCCTGCCCTTCTGTGCCTCCCTGACCTAGGATGCTCCCTGGCCCACCTGGGCTGCAGCCACAGCAGCCTCATGGGTCTCCCCCTGCAGCCACTCCCTGCCAGTTTGCCCTTCATCTTGCAGCCAGAAGGGCAGCACTGACCACATCACCACCCTGCTTCCAGCCCTTCACGGCTCCCCGCTGTTCTCAGGATGATGGCCAAGCCTGCATAGCTGCCCCGACCTCTGTGGCCTCCTCTCCTGGCACACCCTCCCTGCATGTTGGGGCATCACTGGTCTGCTCTTGGTTGCAAGTGCCCTGTGCTTTTCTGGCTGCCAGGCCTGCCTGTGCTGGTGCCATTTCCCCCTCCCGGAGCACTTATCCCCACTTCCTCACCTAATGTCGACTCACCGCTCACATCTCTCTGCTGAGCTGTGACTATCCCAGAAATTTCTCCAGAGTCCCCAGACTGGTGTCAGCATTTCTGCCATCAGGGCCGGGATCTCCTTAACAGCATTCACCCTGTTGTGTCATCGTTGGTAAGGGTACCCCACCCCACCTGGGTAGCAACCAGACCCACCACATCCCTGGGTATATGGGGGAGGGGTGCTATGCCAAACCTCACTAGCCTGGGGGGATTGGGCAGTGGGAGGGACAGGTAAGGTCAGTGGGCCCTGCTGGTCCCGGCCCTCGAGGGTCAGGTCAGAACTAGGAGGTCAGATATGGGAAGGACCAGATCATCAGAGAGGATCCCCTGTGAGCACCACAATGTTGTCTTCTGGGGCCTCTGGGATCAGATGAGCTCTGTGACGCAAGCCCCTGAGGCTTCCACTCATCACAGTGGCCCACAGAGGCCATGGTTGCTCGGCTGGGACACGGTGGCAGAGGTTAGATTCCAGCCCCCTCCTCCTTCCTGTCTCTCTGCTTAGCCCCAGAAGCTAGAAGCTCGCCTTGATAGGGTCTGCAGAGGTGACAGTCCTGTTCTGTTGTTTGTTTAGATGCTGGTTACATGGTGTCTTCTCTCCATTAGAGATTTTCTAACTACATAGATTTCCTGATTGGTGTGCTTTCCTGTATGTGTGTTGTACCTCCATAAAATGTCCACTTAAAAAGTTCCTCTAAGTCAGCTTGAGGTGGAGTATTTCTTTTGCTACTCTAGGATGAAAGCCACAAGTGAAGGGTGGAGGAGCAGAAAGAGAAAAGCCTGGGTCGCTTGGGCACCATGCACTGTGGAATACTCCCTCCAGCCTTTCTATGTGAGAAATACCCCCCTCTTGGTTAAGGCACTGCTGCCTCAGATCCCTGAGACACACAGCCAGAGCGAGACCAGGAACCTTCTCTGTTTAGAGACATTGCCACATCCCAGGGCCTTGCACAGGGCCAGACGCAGAGTGACCACTCAGTAAATATCTGTGATCAACAAGGTCTTTAAAACTTTATGAAACAAGTGAGCACATGTTATGCTCCCAGAATGATGGTGGCGGACAACCTTAAAAATGTACTGGGATGCCCCCTATCTTGGGGAGGAAACATCCCCCTGGAGTGACAGGTGGAGTGGCCCCTGGGAAACAGTGAGAAATAGTGGGGCCTGCCTCACTGTGTGCCCTGGATGTGCCCTGGGATGTCCGCCTCCTCTCCGCGGTGCCTCACCTGCCGTGGGAGGATAAGCATCCACCCTCTGGCTCATTAGGGTAGGCAGAGCCCCAGGGCCAGGAAATCCCTGGCTTGGGGTAGGGCTGGCTGAAGGTTGCCTTCCCACCTCTCTGCCTCAATTTTCTCGTTTGACAGAGAACCATGTGAGCTTGGAAGACTTCTTGGTAGTCACCTGCACTGTTTCTCATTGTCTCAGGAGAACTCCCTGGAGAAGCTTCCCTGGAGCTACCGGGAGAAGACCCGCTTTGGCCGCCTGGCCCAGGACCTGATTGAAGAGCTGGTCAGCTCCTGCCGGAGAAAGCCATTTGCATTGGTCTGTGGCTCAGCCGAGTTTACCAAGGACATGGCCAGGTACCTGCTGTGTGCAGGCCTAGCCGAGGACTCCTACTTCCTCTTTTAGCCCTTGCCTCCCTTCCAAAGCCCCAGCCAGCATCCTGCCACTGAGACACTGGAAGAAGCACAGACTAGAGTCAGAAAACATAGAGTGCAGGCCTGGCCCCACTGCTCACTGGCCAGGTGACCTTAGGTAAATGCTTTCCCTCTGTGCACCTCTGTCTCTCATCTACCCCACAAGCCTCCCAGCTCCCTCAGGCAGGTGTATCCCTGTGCAGGGGAGTATGGGGCTGCGGGGGCCCTAGGGAGGAGAAAGACCAGCATGGGAGTCAAGGAGGCCTCTGTGGGAGAAAGCCGTGCCCAGCCCCGGAATGAGTCAGGGTAGGCAGGAGAAGGTGCAGGAGTTTCCCAGGTTCCTTAGATTAGAGGGCTTGGGGACTCCCGTCCCGTCCTACCCCTACCCTACCTGTAGGGGTAAATGCCTGTTCTAAAACCTGCCTTCCCTGGAAACTGTATGTCCCTGCTGTGGCCTCAGGGCTGGCTCAGCTGCGTTGCCTGCTAAGTGTTTAGGGAATGACCACAGGGGTAGCTAAGAGCTCCTCAGAGGAGGAACTTGACTTTGCACCTCCTATGCCTCAAGCCTGACACAACGGTCTTGGGGTCTGTGACCTGATCACATTCTTTGAGCAAGGTGGGCCCTGGATTACCGTTATTTTGTACTGGGCTCAGGCCTTTCCTGCTGCAGACAGCTCGGCTCTCAGTCTCCCCTGGCTCGAGAGCCCAGCCCAGAGTCCTTCCCCAGCAAAAGAGGTACAGAAACAAGTACCCCTCCCTCCAGCAGGCAGCCAGCTCAGCCCGCCTCCAGCCGGGAGCCCTGGTGACGGTTGCTATGGCGATCTAAAGATAGAGCAAGAGTCAGGAGACCTGGGTCCTTCTCCCTGCTTTGCCCACTGAGCAGCTGCTGATTCTGCTCCACCCCCACAGCCCTCCCCACCCCACCCCTCCATCCCATGTGGGGCCAGCCCTTCCCAGGGACCTGGCGCTCCTGGGCAGCACACTGCAGGTAATGAACTCTGCTTCCCACCGTCTGGTCTCCACTGTGCTGCATCAGCTTGGGCTGGCTGCGGGCACTCTGGAATTGGAACATGAAGCCATGAAATCTCCAAGTCAGAGGACCACAGAAGCAGAGTGAGAACATTACAGTCATGGGATCACAGTCGTCCTCACACCAGAGATTAAAGCTCAGGACTCCAGAAAGCATCCCGTCTAATAGACTCATTGTGTGAATGGGGAAACTAAGGCCCAGCAAGGCTGAGCGATTTGCCCGAGGTAAAACAGTTCACGGTGGGGTTGGCATGAGAAGCCAGGTTTCCTGATGTCACCTGTATGGAGAGTTGGGTAACTGGTGATGTTCAAACTGGGCTCTGTGGGACACTAGGGTTCCTGGCATGGCAGCAGTGAGGGGACAGCCAGATGGGGTTTCCAGGCCCCCTACAACCAGAGCAGTTCTGTTTTCACCCCATTTGTATTGAGGTTTGCAGTTACCGCTATTTGTGAGATAGGATTTTCCTATCTCAAATGTTGCCGCACATGTCCGTGCTGTGCCGTGTCCAGTAAACAGCCCTGGCGGGCATCTGGGGGATGGTCAGAGGCTTCAGGCTGTGCTTTACAGGCAGAGTTTTGCGGTCCCTGCCGGGGGCCTCCACCAAAAATCCTGTGCACACAAGCATATCAGAAAAGTCTGATTGATGGTCAAGAAATTTCTTTCATTTTGTTTAACTCGGAGTTTTCCAAGCTTATTTAACTATAGGATGGTTTTGTCCACTAGAATCTTTGGAGACCAGCATTCCGTGGACTGTGCTTTGGGACACAGTGGTCCGTGGCGCAGCCCCTTTCCACGGGGTGTAGTGAGCAGCAAGGACTGCACTAAGCCTCAGGAGCAGGAGCCCTGATCCCTTCCTGCCTCTCCTGTGACTTGGGTGAGACCCTCCTGCTCCAGGCTCCTGAAGCGTGGGCATCTTCCTCCCTCCTTTCCCTTCCTTCTCACAGATATTCCTGGGGGGCCTGTCATGAGCCACACTCTGTTCTTGGCACCAGGGAAACTCCAGTTAACAAGGCAGATGCAGTTCTGGTCACTCCACCACAGAGCTTATAACCCCACGAGGACTGTGGAAATTAAACTCATAAATCTAAAAAGGATGAGTGTTCTAGAAAGAGAAGTATTAGGAGAGTGGATGGCAAGGCTTTTAGCCTAGTTCTGGGGGGGCAGAGACATGCCACTGCCCCAAGGGTCAAAGCTTCAAAGGCAATACTGTCACTCAGAGTTGGGGGAAATGAGGGTCTGGGGCAGTTCTTTCGTGTCTTTGTCCCATTTTATACACAGGGTATTTAGACGTTAGAAACAGCCACTCAGCAATAACCATCAGCCCCTCCTGTCCTATAACATGTCACCCTCCCTGCCCCTCACCCCCAACGGCATCCATACAGTCTGGTTAGACTGGAGTCTCCTACAGTGGGGTGATGGTGGAGACCCAGCCAGGCCCTTGGTACCAGGATGCCCAAAGGGCTCATATAGTCCAGAGACTTGAAAGCTCCTGCCTTGCAAGATGATAAGGGAGCCTAAGAAGGGGACTGGTTGGGGCATATGAGGATGGACTCTGAATTGGAGGTGAGGCTCTGTCAGCTGCCCATCCTGCCCACCCCTCCTGCTGAGGCTGCACCGGTGCCTGTCGTTGAGGAGCGAGTGACTGGGTGACACAGCAAAAGGACACCTGCCTGAGTTTGGGGCCCTGGGCGTCTTGCCTGCAGATCTCCCACAATCCCCCCACTGGTCTCACTCCCTCCACGCTGGAGCCAGAACTGATTTCCAACTCTGGTAAGAACACTTGAGAGCTACCTTCCCAACAGGCTTCTGTGCACAGTACATTGTTGTTGACTGAAGGTACGGTGTTGAACAGCACATCTCCAGAGCTCACTCGGTCTGCTTTTCCAAGCATGCACATCAGAGCCTGTCACCTCCTTGCATAAAATCCTTCAGTGGCTCCCTGTTGCCTTAGGACACCACATCTCAGCTCTGCCTGCCCCTCCAGACTTATTTTCTGCCTTGTCACCCCCCACCCCACCCCTTAGGTTCCGCATGAGCACCAGCTCTGTGGCTCTCGAGTCAGTAGAGCTCCTCCCACTTGCTGCTCTCTGTGCCTGGGCCATCCCTCCATCCTTCTCTCTTCCACTCACCTTTGCCTCCCCATCCTCTGAGGACTCACTCAGCTCAGTTCCCTTCCTCCCTGAAGCCAGGCCTGCCTCTACCAGTGCACCAGGTGAGCAAGCAGGTTCTTATGCATCCTTTTGCTGCTGTGCCTTTCCAGCTGTCTCATTTGCAGGTGAGCACATCGAGGGCCTGTCCTGGGGCTCCAGGGCTTTGTCTCCCCAGCGTGAGAGTGTGCTCAGCACATCCCAAATGTGGAATACCCCCATAACAAGCAAAGAATATGGAGTACTTTACAGATTGCAAAATATACATCTCCTCGATGTTGAACCACCTGATCATCACCAAAACACACACCAATACCCCAGGCTGCTGATGAGGAAAACCAAGCTTCCAAGAGAGCTTCCAAGCCATTAAACAATTCTGCAAGGTCACAGAGGGGTGCATAAGTTCCAACACGCTGCAGTTGTGATAAAAGTTATATGTGACACCTGAGTGCACCAGGAGACGTGTATGAAGATTTTCATTGCTGCATCATTTGAAATAGCAAAGAATGAAAACTGCCCATACATCCATCAATAAGAGGATAGAGAAATAAATTGTTCTATATTCAACCAATAAAAATAACCTACAGTAGTTAAAATGAATGAACTAGATCTACATGTATCAACATAAACTCAGTAAAAACAAAAATAAAACATAATGCTTAAGCAAAAACCAAATTGTAGAAGGCAAGGTACAGTGAGATACCAATATTTTCAAAGTTTAAAAGCAGAAAATCATGCCAAATGCTCAGGAAGGGGATACACTAACTGTAAGGATGGTGGTGACCTCAGGGGATGGTGTGGGGTGAGGGCTCTTCTTTTATCTGCATCACTTCAATATAAAAGCATTTGAAATGTATATGACCAAATATGAACATTGGGTGATTCTGGCTGATGGGGTCACTGGTGTCTGCTTTTTCCATATTTGAAATAGGTCCATAATGAAAGATTTTTAAAAGAAGACTAAATGTACTCGGTCACTGTGCTTCAGAAACTAGAGGCTTAAACACAGTCATCCGCACCCCCCTTGGGATAGGCTATGCCCTCTAAGCTTCCAGGCTTGTCCAGTTTCCATTTGAAACTGTCATGAGCACCTACTGTGTGCCCCGGTCCAGGGACAACAGTATGTAGGAGAAGCAACCTTGGCACTCAGCTTACATGCTGTTCCCTCTGCTTGTGCCTCTACTTTTCCTCATAAACTCATAAACAGCAGACTGGAGTGACTTTCTAGACACTGCAGTTTCAGACTCTTTGGTTTTTTTTTTTTAATATTGTTTTATTTTGTTTTCCTTTTTAAGTGGGAAAGACCTAGATTCAAATTTCTTGCCAAGAGAAGCCTGGGTGGCTCAGCAGTTGAGCATCTGCCTTCAGCTCAGGGCGTGATCCTATGTGCTGGGATTGAGTCCCACATCAGGTTCCCCCACAGGGAGCCTGCTTCTCCCTCTGCCTATATCTCTGCCTCTCTCTGTGTGTCTCTCATGAATAAATAAATAAAATCTTTAAAAAAAATCTCCTGACAATTGTGTAAGTATCCAAAGCAAATAACTTGGCCTCTCGGAGCCTCAGTTTACTTATCTACAATGGGGATGGTTGTACTGTCTCCCAGGGTTATGTGAGGTTGTAGGAAATGTGTGTGGTGTTCAAGCACAGCACCTAGCACAAAGCCGGCATGAGAACCCAGTCCTCTCCTTTCTCTTGTCTCCCAGCAGTGCCTGGCTCGTGGCTGGCCTCTGAGAACAGCACTTGTTCTCAAACTTCCCAGCATCAAGGGCTCCCCTTTTTACTATTTTCCCCATGCTTTGGAAGATTTTGATCCCAAATTGCATGTATTAAGTCATTATTAATTCATCTCCCATTTTTTATTAATCAAAGACCTAGATATCTGCCCCTCAGAGCTTCTGATCTGTACAGCCAGCAGGGAGCTGTACGTGGTTGACATAATTCCAGCCAGCGGCAAAGGAACACAGCTGCAAGTGTGGTGTGGGTGGCCTGAGGAGGGGTACTGTAGATGCGTCATGTTCGTTTTCTTGTTCGCATTGACCGTGAGTTGTGGGAGCTGCTGGCCTCACCTGGGTGGGTGCTGTTTGCACAGGGCACTGATTGGTGAGCTAGGTTGCTGAGCTTTCTGTGCCAGGAATGAGCACAGGGCCCCATGTGGGTCCAGGAAGCCTCATGCCACAAGGCTCACTATCAATAGATGGTGTGGACCAGTGCCTTGCAGAAGAACATGGGGTTCACATAGCAGGAGGTGGCGAAGCTGTCTGCACGTGGATCCCACAGGCTCCAGCTGGAGACCACTTGCTTTCTGCCCCTTCATTCTGCCCCTTTCTCCCGGTGCTGGTGGAGCATGCTAGCTTGTAAAGGGGCCAGGGGACAGCCTTACCCAGGTGCTAGATCGAAGCTCTTAGCTCGGCGGCCAGGTGGGCGCACTGGGCCAGGTGGTAGGCCACACTGGCCAACTTCAGGGGCAAGTGCCCCCGCATCAGCTCCTCCACCCAGACATGGGGGAGCTTCGCCCCTGGCCTGGCTGGGTGGTAATGAGGGTGCTTGTAACAAGGAGCATCAAATTTGGGTTTGAAGCCAATGGTGTTGAACATAGAACCCCAGGTTGGAACATACAACTTAGGACAGTGGAGTGGAAAATAGTTTCTAGAACCAAGAACACAGAAAATAACCTTATAACTGCAGGTGCAGAGATTTACCTGGCTTCTAAGTGGCTCAGCCTACAGTAAGTGCCCCAGGGCCCATGGCCCCTTCCCACCCCCTCCCTGCAGCCCCAGGCCGCAGGCCCACACTGCTCTGGAATGACACTGATGAGTCTGTCGTGGTTCAGCTGGAGCCACGACTCTGTTCTCAAAGATGTCTGATTCTGTAAAAGTGAAAATGACCATGGAGATAAACAACATTTACTGAACATCTATCTACTGAATGCCAGGGTTTGGTCATCTGCTCCAGCCTGGCTTTGCCCCAAAGCAGACCCTGAGCGAGGATTTCAGTGTAAGAAATTTATT